GAGATATAAGACACATGGGAGGAACATTTTTTGTGTTACTCGGAACTGCAGGGGCTAGTAGGTGTGACACATGTCGATCATATGCTGTGCAGTGGCTAGAAGACTGTGTAATGTGGGCTTGTATAACGGTAACAGATATTTGTTTGTGAAGCCATAGTGCTGGTGTTTGAGTAACGGGCCGAATACGATGTTTACGACGAGGAGCAACATAGTGGGTTTATAAAAAGGTCTGCATAAGCATCATTGGTAAGAACTTTACGTAGCGTGATTGTTCGAATTACTAGGAATATATTACGTTTGTCCAAGACTGATGATTAAGAGATAATGATGGACGTGCAAATCGCGATGTCGGAGTGTTTCGAAGTGACTCGGTGAGAGTGAGGTATGAAGTCATGTACTGCAAACGTTATTAGTTCAGTGTCGGAGAGCGGTGTGGTTTATATGTGTGTCATGTGAGCAATGTATATAGCCGTAAACGTGAGTGTAGGAGTGATTCACTCCTGAAATATTCATTCAATTCACTCCGAGTGAATTGAATGAATATTTCATATCGTGATTGAATGGAGAGTGCAAGATGTTATGGAATGAGTATCCAATCTGAAATGATTCTATGTGGCTTGATTAGTTCGTTATGCAAGGAAGTGAGTACGGTGAAGTGGGTACGGAGTATGTCTGACAAACTATGTGGCGATTAGTGAGGGTCGTTATGTGTGTTGTGTCGGATGTTGTGGGTGCTAAGTTTGAACTGGGAACTGACTGAGGGATGTAGTACGCTGTCTACATTTCATTCCATGGAGAGTCTCCGTTGGAGACATGTTTGACGAAAAGTGATCAGCATTTAGAATCGTAACATCGTACTAATGTTTCCTGCTTATGTTAGTGTTCGGTGTATCTAACTCATTTTGTAATGTGTGTCATGTCTGAGGGAAGTAACTGCACGAGGAATTTGTCTGAGACTCTCAGACAAGAGAGTTGAGGATCTTTCGTCTTCTTGTGCTGGTCAGTATCATCCCTTAATGGGGAAGGTGATTTGAAGCAATGATCACTGTTGTGTGGCCTTTGGAATGATAGAGCTAGTCGCAGATAGACATCATGTACGTAGCATTTTACAAAGGATTGTGATGAAATTGAGTTAGACACCATAGGTATCAGGTGAAAGTGGCTGATTTCGACACAACGTGTTATACATAAGAGAAGCTATGGAAGGAAGTATTGTAGATAGCCGCAGTTGATACACGACAGAAGTGGTGAGTGTAACAGTTGATGCTGCATTAAACTCGATTAAACTTGATGTGATGTGTCCAACTGTGTGTTACTGATTATTGAGATGTGGGCTATTGTGTTGTTACCTTCATTAGTATATAAGTTTAGGATTCACAAGTGTGGCGTAGACATGAGAGGAAATTCAATGAAGCACAGGAAATGGGGCGTGCGCCGTGATTCCTGTCGGACCACGCGCGCACGCCGGAGACATACACAGACGGAAATATCAACAGGCGGAGACATGTTAGACAGTGAGAGACATGTAATTATAGACAAGACAATAACATTAAAACGTGCTTAGACACGGGAAAGATAATATGTATATACCAACTGCAGTGTCGAGTAGGTTTAACTTTTGAATTTCTCGATAATGCCGGCGCTTCCAGGCAATCTCGTGAAGGGGGCTACCATTGTCAGTTCTTTTGCAATCAGACGTATTGAAGACGTTACGGAAAGGGATTCCGGACCAGAGATTGGGAAAACTCGTATCGTAGCTCGGTTGTTACACGGGAAGAAAGGGGATGAGAGATCGGTGAGAATGACAAGATTCCAGAATAGAGATAGGATGGCACGACAAGCAAGTGAAATTAATTACGATAGATTTTTCGTCCTCCAGTGCTTGGAATCGAACGGAGTTTTTATTATCCTTACAGATAGTCCACAGATAGTCCCAATTTACTGAGATTCCCAGACGTGCTGATAGGAGGAGTAGTGTCTGTTGTGGAGCCAATGTATAGAGGGGTCATGACAGATGGTGGGATCAAGATTCTGACTACAAAGGAGTATTTGGTACCAACGGTATATGACAACGGAAGATTGGTGAGTCCTCTAGTATTAGCGAGCGACGTTGGTTTTCAAGCATTCGAAATGAAGAACGTCAAAATCGAACTAGGTCCTACTTGGGTTGAAAACCGACTTTGCTCGGGACTCCCGAGTCGGGAGAGACGTGTAACAGACAATACCCGGCTGCCACAGAATGTGTGTGCTTAGCGAGGACGAAGCGGAATAGTTGGGCAGTAAAGAGTATCATTTGTTCTGCGTCTCTACCAAGTGGACGGTGCGAACATCAGAGCCTCACATTCTCGAGGATCTTCCTCGGTAATACAATATTGAACAATACATTCAGAGACGAAGACATTGACGTGTATGAACTGCGGGAGAGTATGGACGCTATCGTCAGTAGAATAAACGGTGGCATTGACGACGACGATAAGGGATGGACCACCTACGGTTGGTATAAACCAGTGCTGACGGACTTGCGACGTACGGGTGATGGAAATACATCAACGGCGGCACAGGCGGTAGTGAATGAGGTCAAAGTCGATATTGTTGACATAAGACCAACCAATACATCTGAAGATGAGTTACAAGACTCAATGTATCATCTAGATAATCGGGTTACCGTTCATGCCGAGTTTAATGCGGATTCGGTTGCGAGATTGGCGGAGAGAACTCACGCTGAGGCAGTTGTACGGCAAGCTCGAGAAGAGCAAAGCGGAAGCGGTCTGAAGCAGAATAACGCAATACCAACGACTACCAATGCTACTAGCAGGTCTACACATGTGGAGTCAACAGCTTGAGACACTTCAACACGTAGCAGGCTGCTG